ACTCGTAACATAAATAGTGAAAAGAGGGTGTTACATTATAGTGGCATAATGTGCACCTCTGTCTACCCCTTCGGGGATAAAAGGCGTGATGTAATGCCATGTGTTAGTATAGTATTCTGTTGCTTTAAGTACTTTGAAGTAGTGTAACGTTGTACCTTGTTTGCCCTAAAAATAGCTTCGAAACCATATAAATTATAAATAATTACAATAGATTATTCTAAAACTATTATTAAAATACACTAAATAAACAAATAGAAACACATCTTACTACTTACTAATTTAAAACGCATCAAAATAAATAATTTTATATAAAAACATTACGGAACCCAATATTAATTGTTTACGCAAAGGTCCTCGCTTCTATTGCGCCTACGCATCTCTAAACGAGTTAATAACTAGTCGTGTCGGCTCGTCTCGGGCGCATTCGTAAAATCCAACGAACAGTCAACTTAAAGGCATCAGAGGTGACGGCTGTGTCACTCGATCGCGGACGACCTACGTTGCAAGATCGTACTTACCTACCTAGCTAAATCTACCTTAAATCAATTATATAAATTGTAATCGGAATCCCGCTGGGGTAAGTTTCCATGTATTGCTTAAGTGTTGCTATTGTAAGGTGTTTCTTCTTCTTAATTTCTCGCTAGCAGCGGCTATTCCTTTTTTCTTTGTCTGCTGGGACACTGTGACCTTTGGACCCGGCTACGTGGTCCGAGCTCTGCTAACGCTTGCCTTGTATCTGCGCTTCCAGGATTCATGTTCTACTATTAACCTCGCATCGCAGCCATCTACCTGGCGGCGAGTGGAAGACCAGACCTCCTTCTACCTGGGAACTACCTAGGCCCTGCTGAAGACCTGGAAGTGCATTTGGAACGAGACCGGACCGCCTGCAGAGCTACTCCACGGTTCAGGCCAGTGTTCTCAGCGTACCTATTACCCCGAACCTGGACGTGATTGGGGCAACAGATAATTGGCATTAATAGAGTGAACTACTTCTAAAAAAGTGTACTTTATTTGGACCCCTACCTACCTACCTGCCGGCCACCTGACTCCTACAGGAGGCAAGTTGCCGCAGTAGGTAAACAATTTCACCGACAGGTTGTCAATTGCGTACTTATGTAGATTCTTAAAATATTAACTGCTTTGACTTGGACATGTGATAAACTTACATCATAAGGAATGTGGAACTTCTCAACCAGGTTGCATTGTAGAAACATACGCAGCGTCGCTCTGCATGTGTCTTCGTCTGATAGATCAAAATCTGGGAACGAAATATTTCCTCATTTAATTTGTGTTTGTGTACTTTCTACGATTTTTTTATGGCATACGCCGTTAACCGCCGAGCCGATGGATTACCTGATGGTAAGCAATCGGCGTCGCCCATGGACACCTGGAACACCAGCGTTACAAGTGCGTTACCAGCCTTTTGGGGAATTAGGAGTTTGAGGATCGTTGGGGATTCAGGAATTGGGGAGATTGGGGAAGGGGAGGGTAATTGGGCCTCCATTAACCTCACTTACACGACGAAACACAACGCAAGCGTTGCTTCACGTCGGTTTTCTGTGAGGCCGTGGTATCACTCCGGTCGAGCCGACCCATTCGTGCCGAAGCGTGGCTCTCCCACACTTTTTTATTTATTTACAGATATCAAGTGTTCTTTTTAGTTCTACAGCTTTATTCTGCAAGCTGTTATGATTTTATAGTCTTGCTCCTAAATCTCATTATATTTTTTAAATATTTGTTTTGAGTTTACAGCTATTTTACTGATGATCTTACCATGAAACTGGAAACTGTACAGATTGTAGATCTCTGCGGATGGAATGTTGTCGTTACATAGTTTGCTCGTGTCTTCTGCAGAAGCCGTCGCGTGGTACGATAGGCATTCCAGCGCCACCTGTTGAGATACATTCATACTAGCTTAAGTACATATACAAGGTGAATGAAAGGGTATATGTTATTGTGTATTTGAGTAGCAGCTCAGTAATAATAATTATTTATCTAGTTATTTCAGAATTAGGTATATAGTTTATTAATTTAGATACTATTGAATTATATAATACCTTCTGTTTAGCCATGAGTTTGCAAGCGTTTTCATACATCTGTGTGTTGTGTATCCCAAGTCCACAGAAGATGGCGAATGCTTCGAATATCGAAATGTCGCCTTCGGTGAATTGGCAGCCGTTCTCCTGGAAAATAAAAATATTCATATATATAAAAATCATAATAATAGAATACTATGGACAAAGTTTAAATATAGACTTTATTTTATTATTAGTAAGGTAGTGAATGATATTATTACACTTATTAACATTGGATAGAAACAGAAAAATGAATGAACACTGTAACATAATTATAATTATTTGATTCTAACCTTATTGATAAGCTGTGCCACGCCAATAACGTCCTTATTAGCATTGACAATAGGCATACACAGCATGGTTCTGACAGTGGCAGCATCATCCACGTCTGACGCGTTCATACCGTTCTCCCGCCTCCAGTCAGCCACGTCTGAGATGTTCAGAGCTTTGTTTGACTGCGCCACCTGGAATGGGAAAATTTGACAGAGTTTTAGGAGGCTTCTTGTTAAATATCAGTCCATTTTGTGAAGCGTAGAAATAAGTTTTTTTTAACAAAGACGTTGCCCCACACTAGGATTTTCTGATTTTTTTTGATTCCTGTATCGTGGGTGCGTTTACAAAGATACAATATCACATACATATGACACCCAGACCCGAATCAACAATTTGTGAATCACACAATGAGTTTCTCCGTGCGGGAATCGTACCCGCTCCAAGTTGCGCGGTAGCTAGTTGGGTATCCACCGCACCCACAATGCAGACAAGTTGTTGCATTATTGGCCGTATTTGTTTAACATGTATTATACATTTATTATCTTCAACAGTCCGCTGTAGGACTAAAGGTTCGATATAAAAGTGATTTGCCAAAATCCACTTCATAATTCATATATCAGTAACATTAAAACTACCAATCTGCATTAGACAGCCGTGGTGAATGTTGTGATCAATACGAACCATTTTCCTTCCTTTAGGTAAATCGTCATCTAAATGTTCCCTTACCGCTAATGCAATAGACGCTAGTGTAGACTTGTAGTCATGTCGTGGTGTGAGTGTGGTCCTGGACTGGTGTGCCCCCAGCTCGAACAGTGTGTGGAACCTGGTGGGAGCTGGTGGAGGAAGCGCCGGCATCGCTGACTTCTGACCGCCGGGACGCTGGACTATGCGCTCTAAGTGACTCTGGAAACGGTGGAAATATTATTTTCATGAGTTTTACTTTTACCAGGTCTATACTAGATTTTCAGTAGATTGGATTATGTCAAGGTTGAATTAAGGACACCAACGTGACACAGGACATTGTTCCTGTCTTAGAAGATCTTTATTGGTAGATAAAATGTAAACTGTATTGTCACTATAATTTACCTCCCTGTATCTACAAATCAAGGCGTTACGACTTACAAAGCAACTTCTTGACTTGTGACACTTTTACAATTATCTTTTAATGTTTTTCCTATTTTCTACTTAAATCTACCGTTAATCCATACATACCGATTCACAATGATCTGTATCCGAAATAAAGACAGCACACCGTTCACATTTGAGCAGTTCTCTCGCTTCTGTCATGATCTTTGTGACCAAACACTCTAAGTTGCTCTGCTCCTCAAATATACTCCTGGCCAGCGCCAATAGGATCTGATTCCTCTTGTACTCCAGCACTGAGGACTCGAAGAGTTGAGCATTCTGGATGCCGATACCACAGAACGTGAGGTAACGTCGAAACACTTCCACGTCTCTGGGAGAAAATTCTTTGGATCCTGAAATATTAATATTATTGTGTTTTTAAAAGGACAAGATAAATGCATTATATCAAATATAGCGCTGTTGTAATCGAAAGATAACTGTCGAGAAGAGGGTGGAAGATGACAGAGGTAGTCATTATCTCAGACTACCTATTAAAAAAAAAACTATAAATATCATGAATTAAATTACTAGGTACAAGAGTATGCGATTAAAAACTAAATTAAAAACATGAACTGATCCGCGAAAATACTCTTAATAATCCAAAGCATCAAGTTTAAAACTCGCAAAATGAGCACTAAAAACTAAACTATCTAAAAATAAAAGTTATTCCTTTCAGAATGTAGCACGGAGCGGGGCTTAGTCGAGTCTATCATAAATTTAGTTATAACAGTTAGGAACCAACAAAGGCTTTGGAAGTTGCGAGCCCCGGGAACTTGGTGAAAAGTCGATGCCACGGAATCTGCACGAAATTCAATTATGATTAACTGGAGGAACAGAGATCTATGTAGATGTGCGAGGCTTCGAGTATTGGCTCCGGGAATTTAATTTCGAGTTCACTGTTTAGTTTTGTATTGTATTAATTTTGAAGCGGATATTGGGATCCGAATTAATACGGGAGATGATTGAAACTGTGGGTGACGGAATTAATCTTAACTTTGATGATTTTGAACGTGAAATACGTTTAGAAGATGAAGGCGTTTGAGGGAGTGTTAATTGTAATGAAACCATAATTAAAAGTACAGTTACAAATATCGACTTGCTTTATTCGCTTACTAAATCGTACGATGTATTGGTGACAAAATGAAAAAAGTAGGAATAACAATTACATCGTAGGTTTTAATAACTGATAAATTAGACATATCATGTGTTTGCTTTTTTTGCCATCGGTGACCGATGTTAGGGGAGGATTTGCGCTGTACAGTTTTCTATTGGCAGTCAAAACCTTAAGAGTAATAAGCTGGGCAAGATAAAACGTAGTGTGGTAACTTAAAAGTAAATTACAATAGTCAATAAAGGAGAAATTACAAAGAATGTACATGATGATGTAGTAAGTGAACTGACCATCAGTCTTGTTGATGATCTGTGCGACTCCAACGACGTCACCCTCGTAGTTGCAGATTGGCATGCAGAGTATGAGCTCCGTCTTGTAGCCGGTGCGAGCGTCAATCTCACTGTTGAACCTGAAGCAGTTTACGTTGTCCAATGAGAATAGAATAATGAGAATAGAACACCTGGTTCAATAAGAAATGAATCTAGTAAATATATATACGTGTTCTTGACAAACATAAGAATGTTATTTAGTTTTGTTTTTTTTTTTTCAAATTTATTCGCAAAAAGATGTGTATACATACACACACACGCAAGTGCATGTATGTAGGATGATAAAAAAATAGAACAGTTGCACTTAATACATGTTTACCACTTGTCATGGCATGCAAATTTTTTAGTAAGTATTAGGTAATCATATTATCATCGTTAAATATTTATAAATGTCAAATAAAATCAAATCAGTTTTGGAATATTCGTAAGAGCTTTCCTAATCTGGGATAGACAGGGTCAAAACTCTGTTTGTTAATATCCTAATATGTTCAAGAACAGATAGCTTTACTTAACACGTTAAACGCCATGGCAGTCACCGGTGACCGACATTAGCGGAGGATTTGCCTTCAACAGTTTTTTATTGGCAGCCAATGCCTTAAGAAACATACCTCGGGTCAGCATAAGCGTTCTTGATATTGATAGGGTATTTGGTCTGTGCTGCAAGTCCTGCTACTCCAACACCAAAAGGGATTTTGATTTCTTGTGACCGCGCTGTTTTTAAGGCATCGGTTAGTTCTGAAACAATACAAGTCAAACTATGAGTCTTCTTACTTTGCACAAATGTTAAAAAGATAAGACCAATTTCTTTCCGAAAGTTCTAATAAAGATCACGTTCCCGCCAATCCTTACTAATATTATAAATCGGAAAGTGATTTTGTTGTTTGTTTGTTTGTTCCGCTTTCACGCCGTAACTACTAAACCGATTGCTTTGAATTTTTGCAGACGTAAAGTTAGAAGTCCGTATTAAATAATAGAGTACTTTTTATCCCGAAAAAATTTGATATTCCCGAAGGAAAACAAAAGTATTGGTATAGATGGCGCTGTATGTATTGGTATATGTCACATAGGCTACTTTTTATCCTTTTGTGACGTGAGCGAAGCCGCGGGTAAAAGGTAGTCGTAAATAAACACAAACAAGCGCAAAAGAACAAATTTAAACCATATAGTTTCCAACAGACGTTTATTTCCTGCAAAAGCTGAAAGGTTGTCGACTCCATTAGTTTCAGGTTTCAGCAGTTTTTCAGGCAATTAGCCTAATTAGTGCTCAGTCCTTGGCAGTACTTCGGTGACCTTAGAGGGGTAGCAGGACAGTAATAGGGTTGGATGGGGTAACTATATCATGAGCTAATATGTGCCTAGGGTCAAGGTAGAGTTTGTTTATTTAGCACTGGCCCTAAATGCGAATGCTGATTACAGGTTACTAATTGTTATTTGGGGTAATTTGGGATTGTCAGGTATCTATTCTGAGATTTTAGGCCTCTTTTTAACAATAGAGTAGACAACATTTTTTAATGGAATAGTTTTTTAAAAAGTCCTACGAGTTTATCAGATGTGCTAAAAAATCTTTTTTATTATTAGGTATAGTCTGAATTAATTATTATGTTTTCAGCTTACTTACGTAACTGTTTGAGAAGGAATTTGACCAGTGACTAATTTAGTATGTCTCACGATCGTTATAATATTATTATCTGATTCCAATAAAACATTTAAGTTACTTACAAAAAGTGAGTGAAGTAACCTTACCAAACATTATCCCCAAATCACATAACATTATACATTGATTACATCAAAAGCGTTAACATGAAGAAAAAACCAACATGAAGTCATTTCAATCAAAAGAGTATCGTGAATTCGTAACATGAGCCCCAATCACATCAGTAGCGAGCCAATCAATCGGTGACGCGTGAAATCTTGATCGGAACACCCCCAGGGTGATAGGAATCCGCTGTGACGCCGATGCCGACTACAAGTTCTATTTTTAGACCATATTCTGTCGCTGTAGTAACCCCCTGTATGTTGTACAGTTCCCGGCGATACGAATTGCACATCGAATTTTAAAAACATTTTGTATTATCATTTTTTGTTACTTACAATCATTATATAAAGGATTGCTTTGTGTTTATTTGTGTATCTGAAGTTACCTGAGACTCAATGCCAATTGTAACTCTGCTAGTTCCTTTTCTTACGCTCTGATGAACCAACTGGTCTTTTCTCGACTTATGCCATAAAAATGTTTTTTACAAATCTCGTTATCTCTTATCGTCTTATTCGTTTTAGCGGTTCATAATCCTGAGCTGTATACGCGGGAACTTGATCGATTATCTCTTTCCAAAGTCGATGTATATCGACCATTGTTTTTGTCTCTGCATCACCCAAATGTCTGGCTGGAAGAGAATGCCCATAGCAGTAAGCCCACCTTATACCCAAGTATGTGCATGAAGCCTTTTAAAATAAAAAAAATAAAATAATGCGCAATATTTATTGCCTGACATTGTATAATGTTTGTATGTATTGTCAGTAATCCTACGAGCGTGTTTATCAAAATATTTTCTTGTTCTATCTTTATTTAATGTTGCTTACTTGTTGTCCTTTGTTTTTTTTTGGACTTTTTGTCTTTCTCGATATGAAATATATGAATCGTTGTGAAGTGTGGTTGTGATCTTTAGATGGTTGGATCTTCGGGTAACGACTGTAGAGAGTCAGGCAAACTTATTTCCAAAATTCTGTCATATTTGTTTGAATCTGTTTGTGGCGTCGTGGTGGCGCTGAGGTCTATGACGCCCGCTTCTAATGCATGAGAATCCGGGTTCGAAACCTACCAACAGTAAGTACCAATGTGACTTTTTCCGAGTTATATGTACTTTCTAAGATTATTTATTTATTTATTTAAGCTTCATGCACAAAATGTACATAAGGTGGACTTAATGCCGCAGGCATTTTCTCCCAGTCTGACCTTTGGGTGATGCAGAGAAGAGTCAAAGGTGTGAGCAAGAAGCAAGCAACGAATTAATTGAGTAATTAAAATAGATACACTTATATTATTTAGGCATCACTGACAAACGGTAAAGGAAAGCATCGTGAGGAAACCTGAACTATATCTATATATATAAAAGAAAGTCGTGTTAGTTACACTATTTATAACTCAAGAACGGCTACATCGATTTGGATGAAAATTGGTGGGGAGGTAGGTTAGATTAGAACCAGGAGAGGGACATAGGATACTTTTTACCCAATACTTTCTTTTACTTTTTACCGAAAATCTAGAACGGGTACGGGAAATATCGGGATTGCGCGTACGAAGTCGCGGGCAGAAGCTAGTAATTTATAATTATAATTTTGAAATCGCCAAACCGCATTGAGCAATCGAGGTGTTTAAAGCTCAAATTTTCTACGTATGAGAAGAGGCTTTTGATGTGATTTGTGTAAGTTACAAAAGAGTTTGTCATCTATTATTATTGAATACTAGCGAAATGTAGAAGTACTGTTTCGACAGCAAATTTTGGTCGTAGAGAGACGAATATTTAAATATACGAATTTGGCGCCAAACAAGATGTCATCATGCAAAAATAAAAACTAAAAAATAAACCCTGTTAGACCAAGTGAACAAAACACTAATAAAATGTTATGACCTATCAAATTTGAATGCTAAACATACGTAGAATAAGGTTGAAAACGTATTAATTACAGGTGAACAATGATCCGATATCTTAATAATAAAGATTATTGTCCATTGAATCGTATTATTGCGTTGGAATAGTAGTCACAATGGAACATCAGAATAACGTTACACCTTGATATGGTGGTCGCACACTATTGTGGTTATTTTTATACTATTTAAGACTGTATTGGTTAGTTTATTGAGGCGACCTTGAAATCCTTTCATCATTAGTTATTGTCATTGAAACGTCTAATCATTATTATTTAAGGCATTGGCTGCCAATAAAAAACTGTTGAAGGCAAATCCTCCGCTAATGTCGGTCACCAGTGACTGCCATGGCGTTTAACGTGTTAATATTATAAATTATATAATATTTAATATTATAAACCGATTGCTTTGAATTTTTGCAGACGTAAAGTTAGAAGTCTGGATTAAATAATAGGATATTTTTTATCTCAGTAGTAGCACGGAGTCTGGAATTGTGTCCGGTATATGGCAATAGGCTCACCCCCTATTACATGGGACTTATAACATAAATAGTGAAAAGTGGGTGTTACAGTGTACAGTGGCATAATGTGCACCTCTGCCTACCCCTTTGGGGATAAAAGGGGTGATGTTATGTATGTGTATGTATGTTATGTGATACTTTTTATCCCGGGAAAATTTGATATTCTCGAGGAAAAACGAAATTATTAATAAATATATAGATGGCGCTGTGTGTATATGTCACATTGGCTACTTTTTATCCTTTTGTGACGCGACACGCGAGCGAAGCCGCGGGTAAAATCTAGTCTATAATAAAGCGGAAGAGTCTGTTTTGTTTGTTTTAACGTTCTAATCTCTGGAACTACTCAAATAGAGTCTGTCACTCATTACTGATCTCAACCCAAATAATTCGTAAAATTCAAGAGTATTTTGTGAAATGTATTGTTTCATCTACATCTGAAACTTGAAGTCTTTGTTTAAGCAGCTACTTTAACGCGATTTCATTCTCTCTGGGTCCTATTAGTCATAGCGTGATGTTTCATAGCCTATAGCCTTTCTCGATAAATGGACTAACCATCGCGTCGCGGAGGACCTAACGGGTTACCGGAGCTCCGGCTCGACGTGCAGGAGAAGGAACGAGGTGGTTTTTAGTCAGTAAGAGTCTGACATTACCTCCCGCTTCACCCAGGCGGGAGCAGTCATTCGATGATTTTCACCACTTAAAACAAAAAAAAAAAACGCCTATAGTGTTCCAAGTGTCCATGGGAACGCCGATTGCTTACCATTAGGTGATCTGTGTTCTCGTTTACCGGTTTATGCCATAAAAAAAATTTGAACATGTTAACACAAACTGAGTCATTTATAAATGAGTTTTGACTCGGAACTTAAACCGGCTGGCGTAGCTTAAGCTGCAAAAGCTTAGTAACTTAGCTACAGCCATACGGATTACCCGACTTACACTCACAAACACTAAATGTCAGTTCTAATTTGAACCTTCTAACATTCTCTAAAAGTCCTAATTGGCCCAATACGACGTGCAATAAACATTTCGTTGAAATGTATCGCTTTTATGACAACACTCCCAATTTCATGAATAGTCTCCACTCAAGTAATTTTCTCTTTTAGGAATGAACGAAAACGTGGGTCGTGTCGGTGTTGGATGGTTCACATTCCACATGAGTTGCTGTCGAAGCGAGAACGGTTAGTAGCGTGACGTAACTTCATTTTTTAACCTTTGAATTTCAACCTTTTTAACAAAGTCCGCTGCGTACTTTTTATCAAATAGGTTTCCAAAAGATTAGGTGATTGGGTGGCTGTGTCTTGTATTCATACATGCCATTTTTTATAACTTTATTCTTCAAATGTTAGTTGTTGGTTAAAATAAGTGTCCAATAGTGTCCAGTATAATTAAATGTGTGAATACTTTGGCGAAGAATATCAATTTTTCAAACACTCAAACTCGGATTACATTGAATTGAAGACTCAATTTTATTTGTGTTACAACATACAACATATTAACAAACATTTCTTTAGTCAGCAAAAAAATAACCTCATTGTTCCTGAAATTTTTTCACAAAACAAAAGACGAAACCACAAAGGTAAACCTCATTGGTAGCGTACGTTAGAACAGTAACCTGTCCCTATTACTGCGATATAGCGCAGGTCACGTCCACGGGAAATGTGGCGAACGTGTCATTACATTGTGTTTCACGCGTCACTCAACCAGGTTACGAGGAAACGTTTGTGATAGTACTTTTTCACGCGTCACCCGCGCCTGGTTAAGCGGGAACATTTGTGCTTGTACTTTTTTTGTGTGTGTCATCACTGGTAGGGCTATTGCTATTTAATGAATGTTCCTTGGTGGTGTTGCTATGATTTTGTTGTTTTTGGTTAGATTTTTGACACTCGTTGTACTTCAAAACACGGTTAAGGCTGTGCCAGATACTATTTTAGTAAAATGGTGGTAGGAATGTTAGATACCTCCAATTAGATAGGACATTAGTGTGCAGGTAAACCTTCTTTACTTTTAAGGAATAATAATAATTATAATAATAATTTATTTATTTATTCAGATAATACAATCCATATGGTTAGTAAAGATATCAACAACTTATAAACTAGTATTAGTACATCACACATCTTCATATAAAATTAAAATAATTAGTCATAAGTAATATAATGATAATATAGTAACAATACTGCTGACTTTCACTACTTCTGGGCACGGTTTGTAGGCAACACTTGCGTCTTCGTCCAGTGTTTTAGCATAAGGCCATCAGTCCTATCCGCCACGGTCATCAGAAGACTGTTGGCGCTGCCCCGCACCCGCTGCATCAGGGAGGCGACACGCTTTCTTATGATTGCGTAGAAATCATCTATGCGTGCATCAGCGAACATCCCCGATGCGCTACAGTGTCGAGGCAGCCCCAACAGTGCCCTGTACGCGTTATTATATTGGACTCGCAAGGCGCTGTAAGCCCTCTGCGTGTAGTCGACCCATAGGCTGCAGGTAAGAAAGATAATACTTAGAATAATTGTACATACTTGTACCTACAATTGTTGACACTTTTGAAAGAATAATATCGTAACAAAATAAATAGGAAGATTCAGCGCCAACAGCAGAAGTGGCCACTGCTGACCAAATGCCTCTCACACGGAGAAGGTTTGAGTGGTAATCACTGGTTGGCAATTGCAAAGTTATAATTAGAAATTACAAGCCCATGTTTCCTCACCATGTTTTTATTTCACCGTCTGTCAGTGGTGTCTAAATAATCTTATATTGGAAAGTATATCTAACGGAAAAGTCAGTTACTTGTTACAGAACGTAGATTCCCATTAATGATTTACTTAGACAGTAATATCGTTGACGTTTCCCCATTTAAAAGATTTTGTTTTTGTCATCATTTTCGGTAATGCCGCTGACACTCGCGTTCAGGGGTGCGACAAAATCGATTGCCGTGTAATTTTCCAGCCGAGGGTTGGAATTCATGAATCATAACAATTTGGGAGCGCCACCCCTTAAGAAATTGTCTGTTTATTTGTACAAAGATTTTTCAGTTACGTCAGTATTGAAGTTTATATATTGATTTTTGGAAAATTAAGTGTAATTTTTTAAAAGTGCATGTAGTTTTTGAATTCGATTGAGTCATGATTTATTTTTGTTAGGTACCACATAATTTTGGAAGTAACGATAAAAATATCAACCGAAAATGACTTTCAAGAATCAAATTACCTCCTTAGACTAATGGTGTATAGAATTAAGATATTGAGTATTAAATAAACTCAGAAGCTCCCCAATTCTACCCTTAATGTAACTGAGTACAAAACTGATCATAGTTTGGGTCGACTTTAAAAAAAAATGTAGTTATTTATTTGATAAAAACATCAGTAGCGGACAATACCTGTATCTCTGGTGACATCAAACAGTTTCGCCTGAAGATATCTGTTAGGAGGGATCCCCTTCGCCAGGAACAAGCTGCCTCGGTCTGCTGATGTTAGCAGGCACACGTTCACCAGGATCTGAGAACAATAGTACCATCATTAATGGACATTTACAAACAGAAATTGTTTAACATTACCAGTAGACGTCTTTAGGTTGATGGTAATTGATAATGTCACAAATAGTAGCTTTTTTTGTAGGATGGCAATAGAGGATTCGATCCCGGGATCTCGAAGCCCGGGATCCCGGGATCCCGATCAAATTTCGGTCCCGTAATTTTCGGGATTATTTTTTAAGCATCCCGGGATTTTCGGGATTGGAATTTATGCTCTTACCAATGCATTTTGAGATTCATTTTTGTGATGTAGAATAAAAATATGCATGAAACGAAGCGAAACGCACGTTAGAAGTTTTAACGGCCATCTTGTTTACACATCTGATTTCATTTGTAATTGCTAACGGATCTTTTTGAGATCATTAAACAAGAAATGAATCTTTATGAAGCTAGTTCCACACAAGGTTATAATTTGGAGAAGACTTATAAAAAATTATTGACGATTCCTCCAACTTCCATTGAGCCTGAGCGCGCTTTTTCTGCCTCTTCATATTTGTGCAACAAATTAAGAAGCAAGCTTTCTGATGAGTCGTTGGATGCTTTACTATTTCTTCGATATTATTTTCGAAGTTGAAAGAAATAATTTATAAATTACCTTGTATTACTGATCTCTTTAGAATTAAGTCATTTTTAATTTTTATCTAAACAAGTGTTTAGAAGTTGATTTTTTAAAGATTTTATGTGAATCAAAATAAACAAACTATTACACTAAGTAAAGAAGTTCCTTGTTTGTTTGTTTATTATTTTATTAGAAGAAAATATTATTTTTGTTTCGTTTTTTGTAGATTGAACTGATGATTAATAGTTGATTTTGATATATAAATTACTGTCTTTCTGTTACTTCTTTCTATCCCGGGACTGTCCCGGGATCCCGGGATTGACTTTAGATAATCCCGAAATCCCGGGACTGGAAAAATGGGCCGGGATTGAATCCTCTAGATGGCAATGAAGGCTCCTCTATTTAGTAGTTGGCAATATCATAGTCAGATTGTAGTGGAAGCAATGATGAGGTAGATATTTGGCATAGCAGCTGGGTGACTGATTACCGCTAGATGTGTCGCAGGGGCCTTTTTATGAATCATCAAGTAACTTGTACTCCTTTGTAATAGTTTTTTATTGCAGTTTTTAAATTTTCGCTTACGCAAAATAAGATCACGCTTTTTATCCACGAAGAGGTAGGCAGAGGTGCACATTACGGTACTTAATGCCACTGTACAATGTAACACTCGCTTTTCACAACGTTGTGAGTACAATGTGATAGGGGGTGAGCCTATTACCATATACCGGGCACATTTCCAGACTCCGTGGTGCTACTGAGATTTTTTTTTAAAACCCAGTAGTACTTTGCCCGTACCGGGAATTGAACCCGAGATCCCTTGCGGTCACACTTGTTACCGCTCAGCCAATGAGCAGAGGCTTAGGTACTATACCTTTATTTTCGTTACGTTCAGAGCATTTCCGAAATTATAATACCCTTCACACTAAAAACAAATACATACAAGAGATGAGACAAATCGATACAATCCTCATTTGACTAAATCACTTCAGTAATTTATATGCAATAGGATAAAGTGGGGGTCTTGTGTTCTCGGCTTATTGTCAGCGTCCGCTTCGGAACGACCGGCTATTTGCATCCAAACCGTTAGCTTTAGCTTTTCTACTGGCTTTTTGTAAAAACTCCCATTATCTGACTTTATTACATTGTACAGGGAGTAATCAAGGAAATTAAGTTGTTTTGTATACCAAACTACACTAATCTGTCCTTCTCAACCGATGTTCAACCTTATAACTTTTGCCATAAAATCGAAAATCTATAAAACAATTTTGGCTGTGTAAGATTTATGTGTTCACAATCTGGGTGTCTGTACAAAGGCATTCAAATCAAGAAGTTATTAACTAAGGTATAAACAAAAGGAGGATTACAACTAATCTCGAAAGAGGTTTCAGTAAACGCGGAAGGTACTTAAGTACCTAGTCCAAGTCATTCTTCCATAGTCTTCCTTCTAAAGGGCTTTCTATTTCACTTAACCTACAAGGGCCCGCATTATGTGGAATAAAAATAGCCTAGCTTGACTTATTGCCGGGAATTAAGGGGCTTTTACGGGCACTAACTTTTGTTAAACAATGCCATCTATTGGAGAGGAAAGTAAATTGGGTCGTATGTTTACGTGATTTACTTAAGTACTGGGCGATAGATGGTGTTAGTTGGTATGCGTAGGTATTCACAATTTGAAACTAATGAAGTGTTTTGTTTGAATTTATTTTCTGTCCATACATAATGTGTGCCTTGGGTTAAGAAGAAATCTAATGAATTATCATAATGACTTCATAAAGAACCGTGCAAAGAATACTCCAAGCACAAACCTCACTTCTAAGTAGACTGCTATTCCAGGAAAACTTAAATAACAATATTATCATTTCCACAAATAAAAATATTTTCCTTCCTCCCCAAGTAACCCAGAAATCTCTTGGGTAACCAAACAACATAATCTTCTAGACAACTTTAAAAGAGAAAAACTTTAAAGTTCCGCCATTTTATTTTGTAAACTTCATCAGTACAAGAAGGATTACTACAGAGTACAATTTTGCTTGAAGACATCTTTGCTTCAGACGGAAACCTAACAAACTCCTTTATACTTTTAATTAAAAACCGGCTGCTTCTAAAAACTTCGTAGTTTTTGTCAAAAAACCGTTAAGATAAAATATTTATGGTAAATGAGATTAGATTATGAAGTTAGACGAGAAAATTTCGTGAAGCCACGTCTTGTTTGGAGTTCTTTTATTTGGTTAAACAGTTTTGTAAGAAAATGAGAAGATTTTCTCTCATATTTTCTTTGTTTTCTTCTATTTAATAAGTTACTTCGGAAGCCCCAGGAGTCGAGTCCTTACATATATTCAGTGAGAGTTCAATACTGCACTGTGTAGCACTCCTCTTCAAAGGAGGGGATTTCCATAATCACTACGCCTGGCATTAGCAATCGCAGTTTAAAATGACCATGGTGTTTACTCTTGAAACCAATCTCAATGTCAATGCAATTTCAATCTAATAAAATCTCAATAATTATTAAATGTCGAAACTATACAACCCCAATCGTAGCTGTTAAAATTGCATTTAGAGTACGGGATATAAAGCCAAACTCAATATCATTTAGTTTATTCAATATCCACCTAATACGGATGCAAAGGGCGTTAGTGCTGCGACTCAAGAGTATGAAATTTCACAATATCAATTTCGATCGATCGGAATTGGATTCAAGAGTAAGCCCTGGTTAAGTATGTAAGTAAGTCAGCCCATACCCTGCTTGTATACTAAGTTTCATTAAAATATATTCAGTAGTTTCAGCGTGATTGACGGACAAATATCCAAACAAAAAAATATTAATATATTAGGTATTCAGCAGCCATACGGCTAAGTCCATTTTTTTCCATGGGCTCACGTTTGACCACTGTCTCGCCTGGTGCTAAGCGATGATGCGGTCTACGATGGAGCACGTCGTCCCATAAGCAACCTATTCACTCGACCATTATATTCACCATTATCTATAGCTAGTATATATTGATCTATAGCTACTTAGCAGACTTTGTAGGTTACAAATCCACCCATTTTAAAACATACCTCTTATCCACTCCATTCTATCTTCTATAGCAATTGATTGCATTTTCTTGTCAACCATTTAACTATACGTCAAAGTTCGCATCCAGTAATCAGACTATCTTGTTTCCTACTTTCGAAGTAGCTTCAACATTGCAACACTAATTGGATTGTTAACTTAGTTAGCTCGTAACTGGACGACTAAATGCAATTTGAGTGTATCTTGCATTACGTATTGAGTTGTATCGTGTAAGTTACTGACTGACGTTGTTGAGAGAAATCATGGATGGAAAATGATGTGCCGCACGGCACCTAACGCCGTACGCCGGTATTATCTTGATAACTGATAATACGAGCGATAAAATTTTTACTAAAAATCTTAGGTGTCTGCCACTGGGAGACTTCCCACTAAAAATTGAATCGCTCGCGTTATTAGTTATAGAGATAATACAAACGTACGGCGTTAAGGGACTTCCCCCTACTGATGAAAACTGATCGATGAATGGGATTTAACATACTTTCAATGGACCGATATGGAATTCATTGGAGAAAACTAATAAACTATCAGCTGTGGATATCTTCTGGCTCAGATGATGATGACGATGAACAGGATATAATGTGTTAATACACTTAAAAAATTAAAGAAGATTGCCGAATATGAACAGACATGATCGAAGTTTAATACAGCATAGAGCGCAAACTTATCGTTGACTATTGAAAGATTTAAACCAAAGTAACTTAAAATGAACAAAGAATGAATAAGATCAGGAGAAACCAAATAGCCAATCTCAAAAGAAGGAACAGAGTCGTCCCAATCGCGATAGCTGCAGTGAATTTTAAACAAACATTTAAAGTTGGGACAGAAGACAGAAGCCAAACTATTGAAAACAGTCTGCTCTACTTTATCAATAGCTTGTATCATGCCAAAAACCAAAAGTAGCGGTACTGTAGCCAGGATTTATTGCGATATTGTCAGCACGGATTCGAATCTAGATCACTGCGTCTCTGCTCTGATTAAAATTCAGTTGAAGAATTTTCAGCTCCCATATTAAAGATCTAGGTATTATTTCTTCAAAGAAGTAAGTAAATAGGTCATTATAACCAAATGAATTTACTTTTCTCTCAGTAGGTATAATGCCAAAATTGTACTACTGCTCATCACTTCAGATCCAAATCCTGTGTCGTAAGCAATATTATTGATTAGATTCTTTAGTATGTTCAGAGTTCTTGCTACCTTTTTGAAAAATATAAGCGACAAGTTTAAATTTTCATCTCTTCTTTATCTTTTTGCTTTTTACCATAGTTGGATAAAAACTGACTACATACACCCAACTATCTGTTCATAAATTTAATAGAATTTCAACTTTATTATTTTGTCATAAAGTTGAAATAGTCTAGGATGGCTTTCGATCTCCGATCTAGGCCAATATAGGTTATTGGTTTTATGGCGTGTAAGTCATGTCACTCCCAAGAGATGGTAATTGAGGGCGCACCATGGCGAGATAGCTTTGGCATTAATCTTGTTAAATGAACATGATAGACTGTCGTAAAGAACATTAAGTTTTTAGTAAGAATTAGGTCAGAGACCATCCCTTATAAAGAGAGGAAAAATAGGTGATAGTAGAGCTATCGTATTAATTTCATATTGTTTACTATAGGGAGACAAACAGACAGACAACAGCCGAATAGGAGACACTAAATAAAAGCTTGTAAAATAACTAATAGAAGACTGATACGGCTCTAGATTTAGAAGAAGTTACAAAACATTTTCACAAAATTAAAAATATTATAAATACCAGCAAAATAAATAATGAAGCAGGTAGAATAGAAGCACTGTCAAAAAACAAGAACTCAGCGAGTCTAAAGAAAATTATTTTGAAATAAGAACAACAAAATATGCAATGTAAGCATTATTTGAACGTTCCAAGAACAGTGCTGCCAGTAACAATTATCCGAGATGACAAGCACTTAAATATTCTTTCTTTGCCAACCTGACAGGGGGCGCTACCTACCTCTAGTCTATACGTGTTTCGCATTTATCAGAAAATCCACGAGTGTCAGACATTTTTCTTTTATTTCTTTGTAGTTTACATTTAAAGAGGAAAAGAGTTTGGTGAATTTAAAATAGGGTGTGTTGGAGATAGTGGGATGTTTGCTGTTTCATTGGACGAAGATGATGACCATAGTGAGCATGCATTTGATATTTACCATCACCATAACATCACGCCTTTTATCCTCGAACGGGTAGGCAGAGGTGCATATTGTGCCACTGCACAATATAACACCCACTTTTCACTATTTATGTTATGAGTCCCATGTTATAGGGAGTGAGCTTATTGCCATATACCGGGCACAATTCCAGACTCCGTGCTACTACTGAGAATTTTTTTAAAACCCATAAATACTTTGCCCGACCCGGGAATCGAACCCGAGACGCATTGCGCGGCAGTCGCACTAGCGACAAATCGGCTAACGAGGCAGTATTTGATATTTATGAAATAGTTAAAAGTTTAGAAAAAGACATTAATGTCTCTTGAGAGTGTTGGTTGGAATAGTGTCATTTAGCATTACCTATGGAGTCTACTGCACTAACCACCATTGTTGTTAACTCAAGCTCTTCATCACGTAAACCATAAAAATCCTAATAAAGATTGATAACTTGAAAAATATTCGTAACTGAATCATATTAAACTGTCAAACACCAAGCGGTCACCGGTGACCGCAACCTATTGTTCTATAATTGTGTCTACAAAACCGGTACTCGACGAGTTAAAAGATAGACGTACAAACGTTCGCTAAACAGATTATAATCTTATAACAAACTTAAACAACAACGAAGATCGAATTTCTCCAATAGGCAAGGAACACACAAATGTATTCGCAACCCTCCTCAAACCAGCACTCGTTTGACCCGTATTTGTTTAATAAGCTAAACAAAAACGTAAGGAAAGGGTCCAATAGAAGACCCTGATCTAACCGATTTAGCTGAATTGACTCCCCAGGGTACAATGTACCCTATAAACGGGACAGAGTAATATTATCATTGCTACACTGGCTCGGGTCCCTGCGGGTTGCTTGTGACGTGTGGCCATTTTTGTTTTATTATTTTCGTTAAGTGGTTGAGGAAATGAGCCTTGTTATGTGTGGAGTGAATTATGATACTATCAATTGTGGTGTTTGTTGTGCAAATTTTCAAGTTCGATATGGGTGAGAGCTTGAATGTTTATTACTTTCTTACTCCATAAATTAATCTCTGTTTTGTGTTCCTTAAAATAAAATTCTTAATAGACCTTTGTAGAATATTTTAGTATACCACCACCTGTTATTTCCTATTTTAAGTTTTAACGCAATTCCTCAATTATTACACACTTTGGAATCAGAAAAGCAAAGGTTTTTCTTGACTAAATTTGACATCACGATCACGAACACGTGGTCGATGATGCTTCACATGAAAAAGATAATTTAACTCCATTTATAAACGCATAATTCCTACAACACACAAATAGGACAACATCTCATCCGAACCTCTCACAAGCCGTCATAGCAGCCATTTTGTAAGAGACGCCATTTTGTAATAACATAAAATAATTTCTAGAAAATTGTAGAACAAAGGCGAAGAAAATTTCATCATGTTGAAGACAAAACGTAAAACATAATAAGTCAATTTGAAACGTCCCCGTTGTGCTCTATAAAACAGTGAGACTGCGAGACTGCGAGACTGTGAGACTGTGAGACTGAACAAACAGGGTGGATGTTTTTGTAATTTAAACTGCGTTTTTATAGCGCACGATAAAGTTAGGGGGTGTTCCTTTATTTGTGCCACTAGCTCCCTCTGGTGGATATGTTTGCGTGATGATTTATTTGTTGTTTTCCGGTAAATTGCTTTAAGTGCAGTTCTTTCCCCGATTTAACACAACAGACAACTTATATAACGGGTTCTCAAATGGCAGAAAGTTGATAGAAGAATATATTTCATACAGATTTTCCATGGTCGTTTTCTGACATGCTATGCTATATGAGTTCATATTTTTGTACCCCTAAAAGCTTCATGAACTTTTGAAATGATTATTTTAAATAATTCATGTAAGAAAATTCCAAACTTGTCCAATTACTATGGCGAAAAACGAGTTCTCGAGAATAGCGAAGTAACTAAAAGAAGTTCTTTATCAAGTCAAGAAGTTGTGGCAGAAGTTATGTGAGTAATAAAATATTCGACTCTGAAAGAAGCTAACAGTTTTGTATATTTAAAATTGTTCTTTCTTGTTCCTTTGTTCGCTGTTGTTAGCATCCTCGAATTCTATTAATATATTAGGAAAACTCTAATTGTGGAATTTCTCAGAAACGAACTCAAAATGGCTGAGCTGAGACCATTTCAATTATTAAATGATAGTTTATATACGTGTCATAAGCATAGTTATTAAGATAATGTTATTTTTTAAAACGTTGCCCTACAAATTTGAATAGTATAAAATTTCGCATAGATTAAGCCTGATAGGACCAAAATACTTGTGACTCCTCCAAAATAACGTCGTAAGTCAATGTGTACGAACAAACGGTCGTCCATAAATTTTTTGAGTACTTGAATTAGTAGGGGGAGATCGTAAACAGAAGTTAGAATTAACACCAGTGCTGCCCACCCTCCTGCCTCTGTTATATGCCATTAAACTTTTTAATACGTTAGTACTGAACTCGAATTAATTGTTGGTTTTGTATGAGCGGATATTATGGGACGTAAAAGGTAATGGTTGGAGTCATTTGATCTTTTTGAATGAGGGTGCAATGATATGATGGTACTAGGAGTAATTTCAGGAAGTTCGTCTCTCAAAGAGATGAAGAAATGCTCTGATGGAAAGAGTTGATGGCCCTTGCAGAATCCCTTGATCATAGGACTCTACAAAAGCCTTGTCATCCTCAATTATCTTTCTCATCTTTTTACCATAGTTAATATCTATGTTTATAGACGAATCAAAACTTAATACCTAACTTTTTCTAACGTGAGTTTTAGTGCAATAAGCATAATTATATTTGTAACATTAAATTTTAAAAGCCTCTAACATCCCTCGTAATATATGCGTAGATACTCTAATATTTCTCAGTAACGTTGCCTTAAAATTATTGGTGGAAGAATGATGCTATTTAAAAATGAGTATGTTTGTGGAAGATACCAAAATGGTTTACTTATCTAGTCTTAGAATAAACTTTATTGAAGAAACCTAATGCGTAGCCATGGTACTATAGTATAGACACCCTTTCAGCAAAGGTATTATTATTCTCAGAGGTAGATCATCATTTGTACCTTTTATCCTAGACATAAGCGCAAAATCCTTTTAGCAGAGCCCTATGTTTTTAGCTATTTCTTTATCCAGAAATCTATAGATACCTACTTGGAACACAGCTAGTATATGTACACAAATCTCATGAAGCTTACCTTTATCTATCTTACAATTTTAAACTTAATAATGTTGTAATAAAATTGAAAATCTATTGACAGTTTAGGGTAGCTTGATGTGCTGTATGTGCCAATATAAACAGAATTCAATATACATGAAAGTTTGTCAAGTAATTTCGGTAGGTTTACAAATTTTGACAAACATCGACAATGGCGGGGCTCGTGTTATTGTTTGTAAGCTGCCTGTAGTTAACGAATATGTTTTGTGTTTGGAGGAGCCAAATATAAGTGACTATGACGCTCTTGTTTGAAGAGAAGCTTGTTGGTTTTAGTGAGTCATCAGGAATACGGGTTTCTTGCTAAAATATGCCTTATAGTCAGATACACAAAATGTATACATTATTTTTGTTTTAATTGTGTTTACCAACTATTTATACTGTTCGCATTAAGAATTAAGATTGCATGAAAATGATGACCTGATTTGAAAGTAAGAATTTACAGTATTTGTATTGTAACTTTCGTGAGACATACTAAATAAATTATTATGTTTTCGGCTTACTCACGTTGTAATTCGACGAGGAACTCGACTAGTTTCAAGCCATGCTAAAGGCTCATATTCATGATCAGCATTTCGCGACGACTGTCGCACTGCTACTCAGTCAAGTAAAGTCAGACAGACAGATAAAGAATTTACAGGTTGATCATGTCCACCTATGTGATAAACTGGTATTTTATGCAAAATAGATTCTCATTTAAACTGTCAAACACCAAGCGGTCACCGGTGACCGCAACCTATTGTTCTATAATTGTGTCTACCAAACCGGTACTCGACGAGTTAAAAAACAAAAGAAAAAACGACTTTTTCGTTATCACTAGGTAGGTACAGGTATATATATACCTAATAGTTAGTTGTTACATAAATTTTCTTCTTACCTTATGACATAACACATCAATATCCAGTTCGTTGGCGACATCTTTGATGAGGTCCATGAACAGGTCAGCCTCATCCAGCTGCTTCTGTGCTGACCCGCTGGGAGACCGTGACCTCTGTAATAAAGGAAATTCAACATTAACATCTTGATAGTAAATATTATGCAATTTGATAAAATATAAACATGTTCAATTAGAATACACCTAAAAAGCCTAGCTATAAATGTATACGGCCACCAAAAGCACGCGTCTGCGGACGGCGAGCATGGGTGACTCGCCGCCCGACCAGAACCAGACCCGAGCGTACGGCGCGCGCCCCAAAGAGCCAGACCACCACAGATTGGGCCCAATAGGGCTGATGCCGATACGCAGCAGGAGTAGGAACGAGGTGATTTTTAGTCAGTAAGAGTCTGACACTCCCTCTCGCCTGACCCAGGTGGGAGTAGCCATTGGATGATTTTTCCCCGTCAAAAAAAGCTATAAATATATCATTATCATGACCAACATCGTCGTCATTATCAGCCTGTTTTCATCCACTGTTGGACGTTCAGTCCTATAATCATACATTACTAAGCTTTTCCATTCGTTATATCGTACTACTTCAAAAGTAAATGCCACCGGCTCACCTATTAACTGCCTTTTAATTACACATTACTTATGAACTAAAATCTTTTTTAAATAAACTAACTTGTTCAGTGTAGCATTCTCTATTATGCAGTTACGTTTTTAGACAGCATTTTTAAGAAATATGCGAGCGACTTTCCATTCTTCCCCTAAGACTGGAAAATTCTAGTGAAATATGAGCAACATATAGAAGTTTGCAGCAGAAAATATGCTCGTGTGTGCTCGTGTCGTGTACTATAAAATACTACAGGCGAGTTGTTATGAGAAAACAATATTGAGAGAAACAATGCGTCGCGACATCTTTTTCATAACGAAACTTAAAACAGCCGATGCATTTTCACTTTATAAATTACTAACTGACCCGCACCCACTTCGTTGGGCGGTGAATAGCCCATGTCACTGTCCATCTTTTTATTTAACAGATTTAACTGTCTCCACTTAAAAAAACATCAATTTGTCACTTCGTTTTGCCGCGAAAGATGGACAAACGACATCATCATTATCCACAGGCTGCATAGATTGTCTTTATGAGGATGTTAAAGTTGTTAATGATGAAAATATTTAAATGTAATTATTACTAAAAATTCAATTTTCATTTTATAAATTATTAGCTACTTCCGCGCGATTTTACGCGCTCTGCTTGTCGCCTATTGAACGTAGCGTGATGTTTGATAGCTCGTAGCCTTTCTTCATAAATGGACTATCCAACACAAAAAGATTTTTTCTAATCGGGCCAGTAATTCCTGAGATTATCGCGTTCAAACAAACAAACATATTCTTCAGCTTTATAGAACCACCGCTAAACTATTAAATTAATATTACTTACCATACCATAGTACATAAACTAACCCCTTATTTATACTCTTAGGTGACACTTATAGGCTGGTGAAAATCAAAATGTTGTTAAATGACACTTCTCTTAGCTTAGGGTTTCCTTAAATTTAGGAGAAGTTGGTCAAAACGGAACGTCGTTTCAACCGACTTTAAATTCAAAAACCAAACGAGAAGGTTCATAATTCATTGGAATATTATAGTAGCTAGTCACCTATCTTTTCTCCTACATAGAATACGTACATTGACAACATTTTCCAATTCAATAATCATATTTATCTTTATACAAAGTTAGTCAAAGAGCCATCAATACATTTTCAATGCGCAGATTCAATTGATTGAAATATTCATTGTTAACGTACAAATAAAATACAGTTTGAAATATAAAATACATTCTTTGAATACGAGTCCATTCATCTAGATGAATGGACTACGAGATGAACCTTTGGTAAACAGTTTTCAACCGTGTAAACGTTCATAGTCAAAGAGACCACTTTTAAAACAGAGGCGTCATTTTGTATGAACGCGCTGGTTTGCACCGGTTTTTACTGGATTTTTCTAGTTCCATATTCTGAATCGTTGGCGGATTGGATTTTTGAATAGATGGACAGGTAGAAATTAATTTGTGTATCTTTCTTATTTTTTATTTTAACAGATAGATAACACCGAGTTTACCAATTATGAAAGTATATATATTTTTTAAGTTTTTCCTAAGTGTAGATATATTTTATTACTTTTGGTATACATATTTGAATTATAACAAAGTTACTCAGTGTCTGGTAAAATATAAAAAAAAAACTCAGAAATTCCTGAAATTTTTAAATCGAAGCATCAAATACTATACTTAGGAAATGCATAGATCCAAAACCAGAGATAATAAATATAAAGGTAAATTGCAAACGTGCAGAGGTACACAACCCGAGGCAGAGGTTCGTGGCAGGTTGCCAGGTCACCGCTGAATGCAACTGTACCTGGAACTGGAACCCACTTTTGATATTAGATGCTCTATTTTAGTGCAGTTAAAGGAAATTGGAAAATGTTATGCATCTCTGAGATTAACTTGGATTTATGGACGGTCATTTGTAGTTATGGCAAATAGCTTTTATAAATTTGAGGTTATATTTCATTTTCTAGAAAGCCCTGTGTTCTATGATAGGGTCAAATTCTTATGAAAAATTAAAGAAGTAAGAATTATGATATTGTAATCGGATATATCAACAATAGTGACTCGATTTATAAAGTAGCATTGTGTAGAAAACATTAAAAGATCATAAAGTAGGTTACGAAATAAAAATACATAATCTTTATCCTCTTGTCCTTTCTCAGTAAACTTATTAGAGATTTTTTATATTTTATTCGACCATTAGTAAATGTAAAAGGTTGGAATCAAATATTCTATTTAATGTAATAGCCAGTATACAGCATTCTATAAATATCAATCTATATAAATAAAGAAATATACAAATAAAGTATCACTTTGACTAAAAAGGTTTCCTTTGATTTTATTTCAACAGATTATAAAAAATACACGTAGAATACTTAAAGGTTCGTTCAAGCGAAAATATACTTAAATAAGACTGAAATAGAATCGCTTATTTTCTGAATGAAGTGTTCTCTTAGATGTTTTTCGGAGTAGAACCTGAATATTTTTCATTGATATAATTTTATTTTTTGGGTGAAGTTTTTGGAGGAGATTTCATTGGAAGTCTATAAACAAGGTGGGTTATATCGGAAGGTCCGTGGCATCCTTTGTTAAGTATCGGGGTTCTCGTAATGGGTCGGAAACTCGGCGTCCTGTTTCCAAAGTTACGATTTACGGACTTACTAAGTTTTTGACACTTTCGTAAAGTATTTCAGTTTGTTGAAGTGGCGTTGGTCGAGTATTTTGTTAGGGAATATTACAGTAATATAGGATGGTCTTTATTAAGTGTTTCGGGATCGGATCATAGGTCCTTAATACGTTCTTACATACATACATAACCTCACGCCTGTCTCCCATGAGGGTAGGTAGTGACTATGGAACGCCAATTGCTACGAATCTTTATCAATAGTCAACAGTCTATTCATGCATGGTCATCGGTTAATTAACATCTAAGTTGGTGTTAATTGTGTCTGACAGTTACAGATAAAGTTCTGTATTCAACAACCTCATCTCCTATTACATGGGGCTAATAATATAACTAAAACGAGACCGCGATCGACGCTCTGATTAGTTGGTTTATTGGTGCCGGCCAATGAGAGGCCTTGGTTCGAATTTGTTCCACGTTTAAAGTGAACCAACACCAATGAACCGACCAATCAGAGCTCTTAGTCCTCTGGCAAAAAGTGTGTGTACATTGTGCGGATGCTATTATGTGATAAAAGGCATAATCCATTGACCGTTCAATTTTTAATGATTTTCAGTATTAAAACCTACATGATTACTATTAGAAGTCGAAACCGATACCGTCAAGTCGAAAGTCACCCTTCCAATTACTTGACCAACGAAACAGTGAAATTGATTTAATCCGTCAGTGAAATTTCACAGCTGAAGGATTTACCAAACGTATAGACGTTGAAGGCTTTCCTCAAAGCCACTTCAGTATTTCTGGTCACTGGTTTCACAACAGCCAGTCATTAAAAGATTGCTGGAGGCTTTTAGCATGGAGGACGATTCAAATACCTTTATATCAATGTTGTTTACGTTAGATAGTTTTTTTTTAAGGGGGAAAATCATCGAATGACGAGGGAATGTCAGACTCTTACTGACTAAAAACCACCCCGTTCCTTCTCCTGGACGTCGAGCCGGAGCCCCGGTTACCCGTTAGGTTCTCCGCGACTCCGAATCGGCATCGGCCCTACGTTAGATAGTAGGTATTGTTTAAAGCCTTAATAGTTCTTTATATATCACAAAGACAGACTGCAACACTAGTTCATATTCCGGCAGATTTTTTTATTGGTTTAACTCCCATGTGACATCTACACAGCATGAGATTTAAATTAATAAAATAATCTATCACTTTCGTGAGACATACTAAGTTAATTATTATGTTTTTCGACTTCGACTTACGCACGTAATTATGACGAGGAGCTCGATTAATTTCAAGCCATGCTATAGGCTCATATTTATGAGCAGCGTTCCGCGACCTACCACGTAGCGACTGACGCGCTGCTACTCTAGTCAAGTTCCTCGTCGATTAATGACGTGAGAAATACGTGAAAATCTGTATATAATTGCCCAATTCCCCCCTCCCCAATTATCCTAATCCCTTTGGTGTTTCAGGTATTCATGGGCGGCGCCGATTGCTTACCATCAGGTGATCCATATGCTCGTTTGCCGGCTTGTCCGACAAAAAAGGTGTACATTTCGATCATGATGCAATGATCATGATTATCAAGTATATGGGCTGCTGAGTGTAGCGCACACAACTTGAAATTTAGATAGGAAGAAATCACAAACATTAAACCGGGAGTCAACTCCCTCACTTAGAAGCACTTAAAACCAATGTCCCAATGAAGGCAAGCTATCACAATAAAAATATCAACAATTTTTTTTAAATCGATCAGGCAGTGTATAAACCGCGGCTATTTCAGCCATTGCCACCTCGCAATCAACGAACCAATTAGCTCTCGACTGGGGTGACCACGCCGCGTGTCGATTCTATTTTAAAACGACATGCCTG